CTAATCGCCAAATCGGCACCAGATCTCTGAATCTGATTTGGCTGAATCAAATCAGGACAGTGACTTGAATCACTGAATCAAATCACTGTCCCTCTGAATCAGTTGAATCCAGATCTGAATCAAATACTTGTTGCTTCGCTTGAGCCTACTGCTTAGGTCCCTTCCAACCCTAATTTTCTTTGATTGTATGGTGTTAAACACAGTAGACCAGTTCTAAAGATGGTATCTGTCTGTGCTGCTGCTACATAGATGGATAGCTTTACCACAAATCTGACATCCACATTTGAATTCAGTAATTATTTTGAACTCCAGATCAAATCCTCTCTAACTTCTGCCTTTTTCTAAAGTTCAGATTAAAAAATGAGGAAGGAGAACTAAATTAATTGCAGAATACATAAAAGAAAATATTGGAATAAATTATGAGTAATAGTGAGACAATATAATCCAATGGGTAGGGAACTAAAGGAGGAGTGAGGAGACTCAGGTTCTATTCCTGACTCAGCCACTGACTTGCTTGCTGACCTTTGGCAAACTGCTGTACATGCTCATCATGAAACCACTATAGATTAATTAAGAAGCTCTTAACAAATAGTTCAGTGCACATGGTGAGAGAAGGATAAACTGAAGTATTTATATTGTTTACATTTTAGGAAATAGTACTAACACAGTAGGCTAACTCCATTCTTGTTGCAACCATGTGTCTTTTTATTAAAACCAATACAATTGCATTGGTTAACACAACCACTTATATCTATTTCTTAGGTATTTTTATTTCAGTTCTACTGAAGTTAAGCCAGATCTGAATTAGTCAATTTAGTGCTGCCATCTGCTGGACAAATAGCTAATTAAAACTCTAATTTTTGGAAGCCTGATTTTTTTCTATAGCCTTAGGGTGTTTGTAAACAACACTTTAGAGCTGGTTTAAAGCAGGTTAAATGCCTTTTGCACTACTTTAATGGCATTGCTGTTTGCACATACGGTAGTGTATTGCGCGTTAATTCCAACTGCTGTAGCACATTCGGTGGTGTAATGTGCCTTAAATGACTATGGCACGCTGCAAAGTAAAACACCTCTCAGGAGTTTTACTTTTCTACCTTACAGCCATGGAGGGAAGTACTGGGCTCTATGCAGCTCAGGGGCTGTGCAGGCAGACTGTGCAAGCAGCTCGGCAGCAGCCCAGGAAGGCAGGCTCCACAGAAGGGAAGAAAAAAAAAAGCCCCGAGCCTGATCTCCAACCCCTCCCCACCAGAGCCTGCCTGCCTGCCTGAGCTGTGTGGGGGCCCGGTGTTTCTTTCTGCAGCTGCAGTGCCCCCTGGGACTGCCCGAGCTGGGTGCCTGCAGGTGCCACCTAGGGGGGGCACCACCGCTGCTGTGGAGGGAACCACCAGCCCCACCCGCAGCTCAGGGACCTCTCTGCCTGCCAGCAGCTCGCTGTCCCCTCCCTGTTGTTGGAGAGGCAGGTAAGGATCGGGCTTTGACACAGGTGTACATGACACAGAGGTTTGCTTCACTCTAAATTGAAGCGGTGTTTTTAAAAAAACACCGCTTCAATTTAGGTAGAATTAAACATTCGTGTTGTGTATAAACCCCTTATACTCTAGTGTAATTTGTAGGTCTCAAACATGGATGTGTAATGCTCCCTATCAGTATAGCACTTGGCACTGAGTTTTCCACAGTATAAATGATTATACAAGTTAGAACCGAAGAGGTTACTTTAAAAGAAAACTATATGGTGTGTTGTCATCCAAATTCATGAAAAGTCCAACAAATCTGTGTTTAATCACATGAGAAAATGCGCTTTTGGTGTGTGATTTTTTTTCCCCGTGTTGGAAGGGGCACATGGATAGTTTGCTGCCTTTCCCATTAGTTCCTGAAATGATTGTTTGAACAAGAGAAATTGGAAATTTGTTTTTCATCTCCAAATATATATTTTTTAAAAGATGACAAGTAAGTTGAATCACGGAAGTGCATTTATACAGAAACATTCCAAAAAGATGAGGAACCTGGTTTTCCTTTCTTAAAATGGTATAAATGATGAGTAACTCTGAAGTTGGTAATCAAAATCATCTCCCTCCTTCATTTTGCAACACTGATACTAAAGGACCAAAAAGTTGCTAGATTCCTATGCCTAGGACAGTCCCAACTATCCCATAGCTAGCCTACCTGGTCTGTTTTGGTACTACTTCAGGTCCAAATGTTAAGATTGTATATGGGGTAGGAGGTGACATAAATAGCATGTTCTGCAAGCCCCCCTTGGTGAATGGGCCTGCTCTTGTTCTTTAGAGAAGCTGTGGGGATGCTCTAAATTAATGGGGGACAAACTTTTTGGCAGGCATATGTCACAAATTTTTCCAACACTTTTTGTGTACAGAAGTATGCAGTTAAAGACATTTTTTCCCCCAAAAATCTTGTTGGCCTAATAAAAGATATCACCTCTTTCCACAAGTTCTGATTGCTTTTTCCTCTACACCAATACAGCTAGAACCTGGATACCTGATAAATTATCCCTGCACTCTCTGATAGCCATTCAGATCCCTTTCCCCTTTCCTTTCTGTTCCCTGCTTTGTGCTTTCTGACCATGCTGCTGCTCTGCTCTGATTCTCTGTTTTCTGCTCCCTGACACCACTGTGCTGCCTGATCTCTCCCCAGTCTCCCATGTGCCACACACAGGCTGTCCATGCCCCTTGTGACACTCATACAGCAGGTCTAAATTAATGCACAATTGGCATAAAACTAACTAAAAGATTAATAAGATACCTCCCAGAAATACTGTCTATTATCAAATAATCTTATCCAAAGGCATTGCAGGGGTAGAAAAATAGGTTAAGGTAGAAAAGAATCAAGATCTCCGACTTCATCTTTCTAGGGTGTGTCTTGTCTCCCTAACTCTGCTACTCTGTCAAAAAAGACATTGTCTTTTGAACCATCTGTCGTGGGGTGGGGTCCTGCAGGATGGCCATGATCTCCCCAAGACCCCCTTACCATGCCAAGTTGGCCCAATGGGCACTCTCAATTCTCGCCCGCCATGTCTTTGATGGAAAATATAAAGTAGGGAAGCTGCCTTTAAGTCCTCTTGGACACAGGTTGCTGGATTCTCTGATCCCGTGGGCTCTCGACCCCTTGTGGATCCCATTTTACGATGGGTGTTTCAGGGCACTCTAGCCTTATGGGCTATATGCATGGCTCCAAACATCCCTTTACCACACCCCAAGCCTCACAGATGATACCAACATTATTCGGTCTGGGTCTTGTTGCAATTTGGCCCCCTTGTCCTCCCTGGGCTGTCCGCGGCCCTCTATCACTCGGCGTCTCACTGGCACTTGGGCTCTCCGTGGCCCTGTTTCACTCAGCCTGTCACTGGCACTTGGGATCGGTGCACCCCAAATGCTGTGCCCTCTCTGGCACCAGGGTCCCCACACTGCTGTGGGTCACCTATGTGGCCTCCTCCTTCCCCTAATAGCCTCATCCAAACCACCGGTGTTGTGGAACAACAAACAAAACACAAGCCCCTGGGCTATAACATAATACAAAAGACAAGGGTGTGCTCTGCCCCTTTTAAAAGCATCGAACTGCATCCCCAGCACTAAGTCTCTAGTGAGCAAGGGTACCTGTGGCACTTATGGAGCCCCATTAGCCCTGGATGCAGCATATTATGCAGTTGCTGCGTTACTGGGCACTTCCTCCCTGGAGGCTCCTTCACCTCTGGCTGCCAACAGGGAACTGACTTGCCTGGTCCCAGCCCTGGGGTTTATATATGAGCCAGGCCCCACTCCTTCCAGTCAGCTGACCTCTGGCAGGTGTGAGCCACTAGCTCATTCTGGCTGCCCTGGTAACCAGCAGTTGGGGCTTCCAACTCACTGCCAGGGCTCTTCCTCTAGCAGTTTCAGCTCTTTAAAGGAGCAGGACATCTTAGTGGCCTACGACACCATCTTCATTTCATTATCAACATTAACAAATAATTTAAGTGATACTAACAACTTAAATTCATATTAGGATGCCTGAAGAGATGGCCTGATTTTCAAGTATTTGTTCACCCAACATTTCCCACTGAGCTTATTGAAGCTGTACCTTGTTCATGTCCTGGCTTATTGTCTCTTTAGTATCTACAGCCCAATGTTTACCAAACACTTGATACCTGGGGCACACTTTTTTTCTGAATTAAAATTGGCAGCACACTTTACTCTTCAATCAAAAAGGTGTATGCACATGCACATACATATATCTTTCTGTTTTTTTCGAACATATATTCCATTTCCCTGCTAGAAGAAAGTATACTAATGCTGAGATGCAAACCAATGATGAGCCTATACCAATGGTTCTCAGTCTTTTTAGCTTCAAGGCTGTCCTCTGTAATTTTTCTGGATTTCACAGCACTTCAGTTGAAAATCACTGTTATAGATCTCAATTCAGAAATGATAGGAGGGAGGGGGAAGTCTTGAGGTTAAAAAATTTGAGAATCACTGATCTAGCTGGTGCCACTTAAGGGTTGTCAGGATAGGAACTCGCCCTGCTGTGCTATGCTCTACTGTCTGCCCCTTGCCAACCCCTGGTCTGTATTTCAGGGATCAAGGGCAGCCCCTGATGTTGAGGCTTCCCTTGAGGAGTCTCACGCACTGCCAGTCATTCCCATTGATACTGCTGCCAGCCCAGGATCATGGGAGGAATGAATAGAGGAAACCAGACTGCAAAGCCCAGCTCTGTCTCTGTGCATGCCCTGCTTACAACAAAAGTGCTACTGGGAACTCCCACGGACTCCCAGCACAGGGGATATCTGAGGACAGGGAAGGGCAGGGGAAGGAAACAATAGTGGTAGCAGTCCCTAGCAGAGCAGTTGCAGATGATGCTAGAGTACCCAGGGCAAGGCGCCAGACGGGGGAGCAGAGCAGTACCTCCTCACACAGGGGGACCACATGGCACACTTCCCTCGCTCTTGTGGCACACTGGTTTGCTGCCTCACATCCCTTGGGAATCACTGATATCACCTTTTTATTTAATTACAGGTAAACTGTATCTTGGAATGCTTTGGACATGCTAAAACTGCCCTGAATAATTTGTCTAGCTGTTTTATAAAATATTTTGAGCTGCAGTTCTGTGAGAAGAAAAAAACACTAGCTGGAGGTAAGTGTCATTTATATTGCAAGATTGTTTCTGTTGCATTAGAGTCTATAGACCACGCAGATCTGCACCCACATTGTGTAAGGCAGCACACAGGGAGTGATGACCTTTATACTGACACTCCAGAAGGTCAAAATCAATAGGTGAATGAAAGAAGTGAGGGGTTCTGGAGGTTCAGGAAACATGCAGTATCAAAAATAACAGCATATATTTAGCCAATCAAAAGCCTGGAATTAAAAATAATAGCATATATTTAGCCAATCAAAAGCCTGGAATTAAAAACCTGCTGTGGATATTATTTAGCCACTAGGTGGCAGAGAAACACAAGGAAAACTTAAATACATTAGCTGAAATATCCTCTACATTACATAAGAACCTAAAGTTAGGATATACACCAAGGACTTACTGTGTTTAGCAGCAGAACTTTCAAACTGTGCTGTGCTGTGCTGTCTGTACCAGTGAGCCTGACCCTGCTGCCTGAACAGAGCTGAAATATTTCCAGGTGGGGGCAGCAACCACAGAACAACATGGCATCTTTGAAGGAACCACTGTTGGACATAGCAGGTGCATCTACATGTGTGATTAATGCAACTGAATTAACTCCAGCACAATTTGAGCTAAAGTAAACTAATCTGGACTTCACCATCTACACATGCATGTAAGTGCAGGTAGCACAGAGTCAGAGGAGGGGCACACGGAAGTGCTGTAGGTTAGAATACAAGGCAGTCAAGGGGAAAGAGACTTAATGGTGGGGGTCTACTACAGACCACCCAACTAAGGGGAAGAGCTAGACCAGGAATTCTTAAGTCAGCTCACGGAGGTAATTAGATCAAAGGGCACGGTCATCATAGGTGACTTGAACTTTCCAGACATCTGCTGGAAAGAGCAGTCATCCAGGTCTGACTGCTCACATAGATTCCTAACCCAAATGCAGGAGCTCCATCTAACCCAGGAGGTGCACAGCCCTATCAGGGGAGATGCCTTGTTGGACCTGGTGAGAGGGCTGCGGGTGCTTGACCACCTAGGCGACAGTGATCATTGCTTGTTGGAATTCACCATCCAGCGTAAGGTGGCAAAGGCCTGCAGCAAGGCAGCAGCCCTAGATTTCAGGAGGGCAGACTTCAATGAGCTAAGGAGAATAGTTGGGGAAGCACTGAGGTCCCGGAGGGGAGGGGAGGGGAGCCAGGTGTCCAAGAAGAGTGGTTGCTCCTTATGGAGACAATCCTCCAAGCCCAAAGGGAGGTAATCCCAACAAGGATCAAAGGGAGCAGGAGGGCACAAAAGCCCCCATGGCTCACCCAAAGCATCCAGGAATGTCTTCTAGCTAAAAGGGAGGCGTACACCCAATGGAAGGGAGGGGCCATCACCAGGGAGGATTATACTGCGGTTGCTGGGGGATGCACGGGGGCAGTCAGGGAGGCCAAGGCGGAGATGGAACTGGGACTAGCTTCCTGGATCAAGGATAACAAGAAGTCCTTTTTTAAATACATAGGGGTCAAAAAGAAGGTACTGGCTAATGTAGAGCCTCTGCAAGACATGCTAGGAAATTTGGTTGTCACACCAGACAACAAAGCTAACTTATTTAATGACTTCTTTGCCTCCATTTTCCTGAGCAGGGACCGAATCAGCCCCACACTGGGCCCCCCTCAGGCCC